TCATCAACTCGACTGGAGCGATGCCGCCGACGACGAAGATTTCTTTCTTGCCAAAGTGCGCCATCACTTCAAGAACTCTGGCGCCCCTCACCGTACTCGCCTCCTGGCCGATCTTCTGAACATGTGCACAAGTCAACAGCTGAGCTTCGTTCACCAGTTCGTCAGCCCTCTTCTCAAGAAGGATCCATTCACGAGCCTTCCAGATGAGCTGTGTTTACGCGTAAGAAAGTCCCAAATTCCCAATTGGTTCGCTCTGCTGACTTAATCTACTCAAGATTCTCTCCTTTATAGATGACCCCAAGGTCTTGGCCCGTGCCTCGCAAGTATCCCGGAGATGGAGAGACTTGTTGAGTGATGACATGACGTGGAAGAACCTTTGTGTTAAGCACGACTACGGCAGACGCCTGTCTGAAGTTGCTTCATCGATGGGCAGCGGATCTCGACCTGGTGCCCAGCCTCTATGGGGAGACGACTACGCCAGCAGCAGTTTCCCAGGTGCGTTGCCTATGACGGCTCATGCTTCTGGATCCCGTAGTCTTGATGGGGCCGGCAATTCAAGACCCAAGATGAGGTCTTATAAATCGCACTTCAAGCAGCGATATCTCGTCGAGGCTGCCTGGAGATCCGGTGGCACTAGCACCACTAGGAACATCACTCAGGAAGGTGGTGTAGTTACGAGCTTGCACTTGACACCCAAGTACATTATCGTGGCCCTTGATAATGCCAAGATCCACGTCTTTGATACCAAGGGCAATCAGCAACGCACTCTACAGGGCCATGTCATGGGTGTCTGGGCGATGGTTCCTTGGGATGACATTCTCGTCAGTGGTGGGTGCGATCGTGACGTGCGGGTATGGAACTTGGCTACAGGGTATGTTGACTTGAAACGGTACAGCAGCTTTAGATATACTAACTTTGCCAGTGCTTGCCTCCACACGCTCCGTGGACATACATCAACGGTTCGGTGTCTGAAGATGTCTGATGCAAACACGGCGATTTCGGGCTCGCGCGATACGACGCTTCGAGTATGGGATATTCGCACCGGTTTATGCAGAAATGTTCTTGTCGGCCATGGCGCTAGTGTTCGATGCCTCGAGATCAAGGGAGACATCGTCGTGTCAGGCAGCTACGACACCATGGCGAAGGTCTGGAGCATATCTGAGGGCAGGTGCATCCAGACACTCCAAGGTCACTTCAGTCAGATCTACGCCATTGCCTTTGACGGCAAGAGAGTTGTCACTGGCAGTCTCGACACCAATGTCCGCATCTGGGATCCCAGGACAGCGTAAGTGCACTGGATATCACAGGTTTTTGTTCTGTTTTGGCATGCTAACCAATTTCAGTGAATGCCTGGCTATCCTGCAAGGTCACACCTCCCTCGTTGGTCAGCTGCAGATGCGTGGAGACACCCTCGTTACAGGCGGCTCAGATGGGTCAGTGCGAGTTTGGTCACTGGAGAAGATGTGCCCCATTCATCGGCTTGCGGCTCACGATAACAGCGTGACCAGCCTGCAGTTTGATGATACGAGGGTCGTCAGTGGTGGAAGTGACGGCCGGGTCAAGATCTGGGATCTGAAAACAGGTCACCTGGTCAGAGAGCTCATTGCTCAAGGAGAGGCAGTCTGGAGGGTGGCTTTTGAAGATGAGAAGTGTGTCGCTCTGGCTTTGCGACAAAACCGTACCGTCATGGAGGTAAGCTGTCGTTCTTTGGGAAATTTGGGTGGTTCTCGTTGCTAACCAAGATTACTAAGGTGTGGTCCTTCTCTCCTCCGGAAGATGTTCTTTACGACCGTCCACTCTCTCTTCAACAGCGAGTCCTTCAGGAGGCGCCAAATCGACCCTTGAGCGCCATGCAGCTCGACTATAGACAAACGCAGCCCACTGTCGCTGGGTCCAGTCGAGAAGCTGCTGGAAGTCAAGATGTTGACATGAGAGACGCTGGTCCTTCTACAGCCCCACTTCAGGGCGGTAACAAGACTTTCTTCCATGACGACTAGATGTAGTCGGCCGTACATGGAAGCCTCCCGCTTGGCTAGCTAATGGCTTTGAACGGCGATACGGATTCGGTCGCAGGTGCACCGAACAACTGCGTTACCATGGCATCAATGAGGCGTTGCGGTTTATTTGGTGATTGACGAATTCACACACGTCATGAAACGGCCATTTCCCACGAGCTCCCCTTCCTAGATTGGGGTAGCTTGAGAGATAAAAGTGTCGTCTTTTTTGGAGTTGGTCAGGAAGCATCATGTGCATTTCAAAGGATGGCCAGCATGGGTTTGACAGCATTGGGGATGCAATTTCAGTGGTTTAATGGCGACAATCGAAGGATTAAGACTTCAGGATGCGAGCTCAAGCAAGTTTGAGCATGCGGTCAGCCAAGCCAGACCTTTAATATACCCCGAGGTAGCGTATTATAGAGTTATATACCGCCTCAGAACAGGTGTGATGGACTTGCGGCTTGAGGCTTGAGCTCGATGCACGGAGTTCCGGTTTGATGTGCGATGAGTAAGGTACTTAATCTGACGTACTTTTCTGTTGTGCCTATCCGTACATGGACAAAGTATAAAGCCGCTGCCATTGTGGATTTTGTAATCATTCCTTGCAACCACGGGACATGGCATATGCGAAGGATGGGGAAATGCCCCCATTGACTTGGATAACCTATGGCATCATTCAAGTTCAATGGCATTCCTAAGTACCTAGTGACTAAGGTACCTCCGATCGGAAGCCATATTTCGTCCTAATCTGCTCTTATTGAGGTAACTTATTACGGATAGAGTAAGGTAGGGGTTTGGGTTTTCGCGGCGATTGGACCCAGTGCTGGGTTCTGTTTCCCTGCTATCTCCGAAGGCCGCTCTCGCTGTCCACTGAATGCGAACTCGATGGGACCCGTGCGAGAATATGACCGACCGTTGGAAGCCAGGCCCGCCAAAGTCACAGCGCGCTGGAAGTTCACACCTCGCAAATCCCGTTGAGGCAAGGTCACGTGTAAGCAGGCTAGCCACATACGGACTAGTAGTTTTCAACAAGCAGCAGCTCCCTTCCCAACCAACGCCGCGATTTTTCGGAGCTCCAGCGACCAAATAATTTGTTATCACCCTCCTTCCCCCGAACCCTTCTCATCCTCATCGTCCGGAGGCTCCATCATCACCACCCCCACGATGTTCTCCCGCGCGATCAGGTTAAACAGAGCAGTGCCTCTGCGCACTCGCGCCCCGGCCACTTTTGCTGCTGCATCCCGGTCCGTCACCACCAACGCTGCATCGGCAACTTTGGAGAAGGGAGTTCCCCAGGTCAGTTTGCGCTCTTTTCCCATCGCCACATTCGCCGGACATGCTGCGACAACAAAACGCCCCTGGATATGGAGGCATGCTCAATTGCATCCTGCTAACCTGCAATCCTATTCTAGTCCGACGATGAGCCTTTCCAGATCACCCTGAGCGATGAGAGCTTCGAGACCTACCAGCTCGACCCCCCGCCGTACACCCTCGATGTCACGAAGAAGGAACTGAAGCAGATGTACAAGGATATGGTTGTTGTCAGGTACGGACAAATTTGTCTCTCTGCGAAAACGTATTCGCTTTAGCTTTGTTACTCACCCTTTGCGCAGACAACTCGAGATGGCCGCCGATCGCTTGTACAAGGAGAAGAAGATTCGTGGTTTCTGCCACTTGTCCACCGGTCAGGAGGCTGTCGCTGTCGGCATTGAGCACGCTCTTACCCGCGAGGATGACTTGATCACTGCTTACCGTTGCCACGGCTTCGCCTACATGCGTGGCGGTACCGTCCGCTCCATCATTGGTGAGCTGTTGGGCCGCCGCGAGGGTATTGCGTACGGCAAGGGAGGTTCCATGCACATGTTCACCAAGGGTTTCTACGGTGGCAACGGTATCGTCGGTGCACAGGTGCCCGTCGGTGCTGGTCTGGCTTTCGCCCACAAGTACACTGGTCGCAAGAACGCCTCCGTTATCCTGTACGGTGACGGTGCCAGCAACCAGGGCCAGGTCTTCGAGGCTTTCAACATGGCTAAGCTCTGGAACTTGCCCGCCCTGTTCGGCTGCGAGAGTGAGTTTTGAACGCTACGAAAGGTCATCGCATCGGCCATGCTAACGAACTTCCCCAGACAACAAGTACGGTATGGGTACCGCTGCTGCTCGTTCATCAGCCCTCACAGATTACTACAAGCGCGGGCAGTACATTCCTGGTCTCAAGGTCAACGGCATGGACGTCCTCGCCGTCAAGGCCGCGGTCAAGTACGGAAAGGACTACGCTGTTGCCGAGAACGGACCCCTCGTCCTCGAGTACGTTACCTACCGCTACGGTGGTCACTCCATGTCCGACCCTGGTACCACCTACCGTACTCGTGAGGAGATCCAGCGCATGCGTTCCACCAACGACCCCATCGCCGGCCTCAAGCAGAAGATCATGGACTGGGAGGTTGTCACTGAGGACGAGCTCAAGACCATTGACAAGGAGGCCCGCAGCTTCGTCAACGAGGAGGTTGCCGCTGCTGAGGCCATGGCCGTCCCCGACACCACCCCCAAGATTCTCTACGAGGACATCTACGTCCCCGGTACCGAGCCCCAGTTCATCCGCGGCCGCACCCCTGATGAGACCTACTACTTCAACTAAATTCCTGCGCATGATGAATAATTGTTTCCTAACCTTTCTGTCCTATTGTACAATACCTACTAGCTAGAGAGGGTGAAGTGGTCACAATCTGAACATGGCCAGGGTCTGCAGATATCCTCCTGGTTCGACAAATTCTTAGTCCCTCTTTGTGACATCCAGCACACTGTGATATGACATGCACATTGCTCATGCCTCATAAAATTTGAAAAGCTCCTCTCGGCACGGCGCACTTACAATAGACCGACAACGGGCAGTCTTCTTCCAGTGCATTAAGCCCAATCGGGGTGGTTCAGAAAACTTTCCCGAAGCGGCGCAGTGGTGGTCCAGGTCGCTGCCTACCGTGCCTACCGTGCCTACCGTACCTGCCCATGCTGCCTGGAAAGTTTCTGTGGGCCCGTGCAGCTACGGGTCCTTTTCGCGTCACCAGGCTGGAGCTCTTAACGCGATTCTTCTGCTCCAAGCGCGTCGAGGTTCCCCAGGGTCCTCCTACAACCTTCATGTCTGCTCTTCCCCGCCTTCTGAACAGTTCAATCGGTCAAAGAAACGTACTTGGGTCAGCGTTTCATACCAGCTTTCGACTCTTCACTATCTACACTCGACCAGCCATCACAATGGCGCCAAAGCAGGCGACGCTGGGGTACGTCAAGCCATCTCAGACAACGTTGGGGTGTGTGAAAGGACAATGCTCCTAGGACTACCACGGATGCAATGGAATTATTTCCAATTCTAGCCATCGTGTGGTGTCAAGGACCGCCTGCTGACAGAGCTCTACAGAAAGTTCTTCGGAGCGAAAGGATCCAAGCCCGAACCCCAGCAGAGCAAGCTGAGCTTCGCCACCAAGACAGCCCCGAAGAAGGAGGTTAAGAAGGAGGTCGAAGAGGAGGTCGATGCAGACAAAGATGCCGCTGAGACACGGGCATCTCCTAGCAGTATGTTGTCATTTCATACGATGGACGTCTCCTGTTTCAATTGAATAACGAGTCTACTACAGAGCCGCGGAAACGTACCAGAAGCCCGAGTCCCGCCGTACAAGCATCGAGCCCGAAGGTCAAGAATGAGATTGTGGAAGAGGATGAGGACGATGAGCCTGCCACAAAGAGACCGCGCAGAGGCCGCAAACGTGTAATTGAGGACGAGGACGAAGATGAAGTGATGGACGAAGCTCCTAGCAAGTCCCGATCAAAATCACCAAAGACCTCCCAGGCCAGAAAGAACGGCACAGAGAAGCCTGTAAAGGCCGCAAACGCATCCAAGACTGCCCAACCGAAGAAAAGCGCCAAGTCTCCTACACCTGTCGTGGAGGACGATAAGGAGGATGCAACGGAGTCTGCGTCAGAAGACGACGTAGTTGAAGACGACGAAGAGGAGGCCAAGCCTACGGCAGCGAAGAAGAAGAAGGCCTTGGAAAAGGTGCAGATGAAACTGAAGACCCAAACAAAGGACCCATATCCCGACTGGAAGGCGGGCGAACCAGTTCCCTATGCCGCGCTCTGTACCACCTTTTCTCTGATCGAGCTCACGACCAAGCGGCTCGAGATTATGGCACACTGTTCGCTATTCCTCCGACAGGTTCTGCGTCTGACCCCCGACGATCTTCTTCCCACTATTCTGCTCATGATCAACAAGCTGGCTCCTGACTATGCCGGTATTGAGCTGGGCATTGGTGAGTCGCTCATCATGAAGTCCATTGGTGAATCCACGGGACGAAGCCTCGCAGTCATCAAGCAAGACCAGAAGGAGATTGGAGATCTCGGCCTCGTTGCCGTCAAGAGTAGATCAACACAGCCAACCATGTTCAAGCCCAAAGCTTTGACGATACAGGGAGTTCACAAGGGTCTCATGGGCATCGCCACTGTTTCTGGCAATGGTGCCCAGGGCCGTAAGGTTGACGCCATCAAGAAATTACTATCAGCAGCCGATTCCCATTCCTCCGGAAAGGTGGATATCACGAAGGACAAAGGCGGTCCCAGCGAAGCCAAGTATCTTGTCCGATTCCTCGAGGGTAAACTTCGATTGGGACTGGCAGAGAGGTCTGTTCTGGTGTCTTTGGCTCAAGCTGTGGTCTTCCACGAGGCCGACGCCAAAGGTCAGGTACCCAAGACGACAGACGTGGAACAGGCTGAGGCCGTTCTCAAGACGGTCTACAGGTTTGTGGCTTGGTCTCACAATTGCCCATATCCTCGTATTAATCTTGTTTAGTGAACTTCCGAGTTACGATGTCATCATCCCCGCCATGGTAGAACACGGCATCATGCATCTGCGCGAGCATTGCAAGCTGAAGCCCGGCGTGCCCCTGAAGCCAATGTTGGCAAAACCAACGAAAGCTATCACTGAAGTTCTGGACCGCTTCGAGGACCAGACCTTCACATGTGAATACAAGTACGACGGCGAACGAGCGCAGATCCATTACGTTGCGAAATCCGCGGATGAGGAGATTAGTCAATCTTTGCCAGGGGCTACGACCGCTGCGGCAAATGGTGTTGCTGCCATCTTTTCCCGTAACTCTGAAGATCTCTCCAAAAAGTATCCCGATATCCTTACCAAATTGCACACTTGGGTCAAGGAGGATACGAAGAGCTTCGTCCTTGACTGTGAGACAGTTGCGTGGGATGTTGACGAGAAGAAAGTCCTTCCTTTCCAGCAGCTGATGACGCGAAAGAAGAAGGATGTCAAAATCGAAGATGTCAAGGTGAAGGTCTGCGTTTTTGCTTTCGATCTCCTTTATCTCAACGGCGAGGCCATTGTTGAGAAGTCGCTCAGGGAGCGTCGCGAGCTCCTGCTGAATGCCTTTGCGCCAGTAGAGGGTGAATTTGCCCTTGCTACGCATATGGATGGACAGGAGTTGGAGCAGATCCAAGTGTTCCTCGACGAGAGTGTCAAGGCGTCTTGCGAAGGTCTGATGGTGAAGATGTTGGACGGCTCGGAGAGCGGGTATGAGCCCAGCAAGAGGAGCCGAAACTGGCTCAAGGTAAGCCGCTTGGATCCCTTGGAGATGTCCACTGCGCCGATAATTTGTCGTGCTGACTGCATATCTCTAGATCAAAAAGGATTACTTAAGCGGCATCGGCGACTCGCTTGATCTCGTAGTATTGGGTGCATATTACGGCAAAGGCAAGCGTACATCTGTCTACGGTGCCTTCCTCTTGGCCTGCTACAACCCGTCGTCTGATTCGTATGAAACCGTCTGCAATATCGGCACGGGATTCTCCGAGGCCGTCCTCGAGGAACTGCACAAGCAGCTCTCGGACATTGTCATTGACCGGCCAAAGCCGTTTTACGCACATTCCTCGGGCGGGCAACATCAGCCCGACGTGTGGTTCGAGCCTCGTTACGTCTGGGAGGTCAAGACGGCCGATTTGACGCTCAGCCCGCGCTACAAGGCCGGGTGCAAAGAAGGTGTCGACCCCGGCGGTGAGAAGGGAATCAGTCTGCGATTCCCGCGCTTCATCAAAGTGCGCGACGACAAGAAGGCCGACGAGGCCACGTCCAGTCGCCAGGTGGCTGAGATGTATCGCAAGCAGGAGAGCGTGACCAAGAGCAAGGGCCCTGCGGTGGATGATGATTTCGAGTATTAATTACGAGTTTTTCAGTCTTTGCTGGAAGAATTGGCGATTCATGGCGTTCTTACATGGCTCTGGGCGGGATTCCAATACATGCGGGTGCTTCCGCTCATCACGACGGGAAAGGGGTTAGGTTGAAGCATGACTTGTTAGTCTGCAAAATCACATACATAGGTACTTGCAAAATGTGTTCAAATCTTTGCACCATACAGAAGGAGACACATGCAACTTCTTTCTTAAAACCGAATGGCATGTGTATGTATACCTTGCCTATTCGTCCCGTGTATTTTGCTCGGTTCCTCTGCTCCTATCTCGCATGTCTCACGAGGAAAGCGCAATCCCGCGGGATACGTATAAGCGTCGATCCAAAAGCAAAACAAAATAGTTCATGTATAGATTTACTTTGCCTTTGCATGCGGCCGCCGCGCCGGCAGATGCATATGTGTGATGTTCGTCATTGTGCCTCTGCCTTTTTTCCTTCTGTCTCTACTTTTTCCCCCTTTTCTTTTTTCCCCTCCCTCATGCGAGCATTGGAGGGTGCATTGCCAAGAATAACCTTGCATCGCACATTTTGTATGTATATTATGAATGTGCAGATGACATATGCTACACCAGTTGTGGAAGAGGAGCCCAATTTTATCTAGTACAATGGCGAAGTAGCAGACACGACCAGTGTTGACAAGACTTGTGGAAGATGGGTCATAATATGTATTATTGTAATTTGTAGCACCTTCTATTCTACAAGCTATACAAAAACTCGGCCCTGGGTTCTGTGGGCGGTCAAGTGAGGCTCAAGAAACCACTACAATTCGGCTTTTAACCCTATCCGCTGTACGGATGCAAACTCGAAAGGGACGGACGAAAACTTTCTAGGCTCTAGCGACACCCCCTTTCTTACTAACATGTTCCTTTACGACTTTCCCCATGCCGATGCCCTTCCTTCGGCCCCGAATCACAGCCTCCAACGCCTTGCCGACGGCGGGCATGTCACCGAGCATGGTCAAGTGTCCGCGCTCGGTGCTGACACGCCCACCGCGTACCAGTTCGTACCCCTCTGGCAGCTGCGCCTCGCGCGCGAGAACCACGCCATCGCCGGCGCGGAAAATGAGGTCGTCGTAGGCTTGTGCATGGCAGATGGCCTCGCGGCTGCTGACCTTGACGGCGTAAACAGTGGGGACTTCCTTGCCGTAGATGATACCGAGAGGAGGGTACGCGTTGGCCTCTGATAGTGCTGGGTCGAATTGTGTTTCTTGACGGAACCTCTTGACCTCGGCAAGGGTACGCTCGAGGTAGGCAATGTTTCTGGCGCGGTTTGGGGGCGTAGTTATGCCAGATGCCCCCTTTGTGAATGGCGATGGTTTGTTGCCATCTATCTGTGGGTTGATGCCTCCTTCGCGGACGTGCTCTACCCTCCGGGCCGCGTCGGTTACTGATGGCGGCAAGACATGGTTTTGTTTCTTCTCGCTTGAGCTGCGACTGCGGACCGACAATAGAGAGCTGAACGTTGTCGACTTTTCCTTTGGTGCTAGGGAAGGTAGCGGAGGCTCAATACATGGTGTGAGACGATATTTGATCCATTCGTTTACGTCGTGAAAGTCGATATTGTACTCTTCCTTCGTGTCCTTATTGACGAAACAGAAGCCGTCATCAGGCAGAAACACGAAGGATGTTCTGAGTGAGAAGTTGACCTGCGCAGTCAAGATCTTCTCATTGAGGAGGACTGCGTCGCCGTCTCTGAGGGGCCCCAGGACGTTGATGCACCGCTGAGGTGTACCAACGTAGACCACTCCGGAGAACAGATCCGGTCTCTGGTTGACGACGTGGCGGGTGATGAGACCACCGAGACTGTGGGCCAAAACAAGAGCACCTCTGGGCTCTTTCGAATCCGCCTGGTTGCATGGCAGCTTTTCCAAGAACTCAACCATTTTACGTGATAGTAGATGAGGGCTCAGTCTCCAGTCGTAGCCATAATCATGTAAACGTAGCTTTCCTTTCCGAACGTTTTCGCAAGCGGCAATCTTCTTGAACAACTTTCTGGAAATGTCGATTGGGCCGATGTTCTGGAGCATGCCTGACGGGATGATGCGCTCTTCCATTGACTCTTCGTCTTCGGGGTCAAGGCCAACCTCCAAGTCCGCCTTCCTCATGTTGAGTCCGATTTTGACTGGAGCCCATAGTTGGTGGTGCGGAGGCTCTGCTGATCGTAGAATCGAACCACGGTAACCACCCAGAATTACTATATCCCCAGTCAACGTCTCCAGCACTCTGTCTAGAGTTGACAGTCCGTCGTTGTCGACTTTGGGTGCTGGGGCTTCAGGGATTGTCTTGCCCGTTGCGTCTTCGTTGAGTTTGAGTGACGATCCAAGTTTGGGTAGGCTTGGCATTTTGAACGTTGGTCTTTCGGGCAGACTGTCTTTGATTGCCTTCATCCTCACATTGGCCATTTCTCTGACGTGATCAAACCTGCCATCGTCATCTCCAATAGAGGATGTGCGGGATAGCGAGTGGTACAGCAGCGAATCATCGGATGTAACTCGTCTCAAAACACGGGGCCTTGTGGTAGAAGGTCTCCCAGATGATACAGACGGACGATTACCGGATGCTTCATTGGCCATCGTCTGCGCACGAGGAAGACCGTTGGCACCGCTAGACATGGCAGCCGTGCTGTTATAAGGCCTTCTACTCTGGGCCAGGGGAAATTTCCGCTGTTCGGTCGTCGTCGTCGTCGTCGTCGATTTCGGCTCCGTCTTCTCTGCGGCGGCAGTAAAGAAGGATAAAGAATTGAAGATTGCCGAAGGAGCCGGGAACGAAGAAAAAGCATTCGAAAACTTCTTTAGCGCATCAGCTCCCGTGGAAGATGAGCGTTTATGTCTAGTTTGACCAAAAGATATGGATTCGAGGGCGGTCTTGGGCGCTTCGCCGTCCCCACCACCAAATATCATGTTCCGTGGACTCGACTGCCATGGTGAAGGCAGGTCTTCCTTTGGGGCTGGCCTAGCTTTTTGGAGCTTTTGAGACTCCCGTCTGCGAGGCGGCGCCGGTGAGATGGGAGTGTCCGACTCGGTCTCGAAAGTGGTAGGAATCTCATCGGGGAAGGGCGTCAATTCTGGCGAGCTAGCGGAATCGTCACTACTCGTATTACCAGGCAGGAAGAGTCCGGACGACTTCCTTTCCCTCTCTCTCTCCAATGCAGCAGCCTTTTCAGCTTTGGATGTTTGTGGTAAAGTGAGTCGGGTTGCAGCAACACTCAATGCGGGTTGCATAACGGACTGGGCGCCATCTTGGTCATCGTCACCATACACTGGATCTTCAGATGGGACTTTTTCTAGGATCGGAGACGGAGACCTCCTCCTTTCACTGACGCCTTCTTTTTGAGACATAGCTACCATTATGAGGTTCCTCGTCAAACGTGCTGAGAAATCGAGGTGCCGGATCGCGGGGTGTATAAGAGTTATAAAAGTCGCAATTTGCAGCCGGGCGTTCCGGGTGTTAGCTCAATGGCACATGCTCAATGGCCTTTTTGGGAAGAGCGAGAGTGGACACCAGCTGGTGCTGCACCGAGGTCAGTACGGGAGATTGACCTGAAAAAGAGGTCAAAACCGACAAGGCGAGGTAAAAGAGGACCTCAAGAGTCTGGGGAAAAGCTGGGTCGAGGGCTATATGGCGGCCCAGTCAAGGGGGAAAGGATAGAAATGTGCCTTGCTGAGGTGCAGGGCCTTTAGGTTGTGTGTGACGAGATGGTAGCGTTTAGAAACGATGATTCAGTACAACACTCCGATCTGAGAAGACGGAGATTTGACAATGACGAACCAGATAATTGGAGCAGGGGTAGGGAAGCACCGCGTAGGTGATATAAGAAGGAGAGGCTAAGGGAGCAGTAGTAGTAGGGTGCGTAAGGTAGTCGTACCTTTCTACTTAGACAAGTAGAGTACCTAACCGCGTATCTATACGGAGGGTAGGCAACCCACGTGTGCCCACTTGTTCCCGTCCTACCCATCCGTACCTTTGGACTAAGGAATGTACCTTACCTTTGACGTGCGTGCGTGCCTTGCCTTGACAGAAAACTCGATTAAGGAAAGGCAAGGTACCACCCTCGCCTCAGTCCGAGGTGTGGGTAATAGCCAACACACACGACCGCACAACCTGAAGAATGGAAGCATGAAAGGGAAGCTTGCTGATGTTCTTCCCGCTGTGTACCGTAGTAGTTGCGTAGACGGTAGGTGCTAAAGAGCAAAGACCAGAAGTCTGATATGCACAGAGCTGCGCCTCCCTCGCCCGAGAACCAGGGGCATCCTTCTCGGGAGTACATCGAATAGATCTCCGGCAGGAAGGGGCTCAGGCTCAGGCTGCCAAATATCGAATGCGGCTAGACTAGAGATCGCTGTGTCTTCATCTCACAGCTGTTTCTTCCGCGCTCGACCGACATTTGCTTCCCAATTGCCATACCGGACCGTCCTTTCTGTCAGAGAGGCACGGATAACGGCAATAAGTGGGAGAGTTCTTGCGCAGACAGCTGTGCTTTTGCTCTGTCAAGGCCAGTGTGCGGGACGTGGTCTTGGAAGAAGCCAAGCACATGTTCTTTTTCTTCTTCGTCTTCGTCTTCTTCTCCGCCGTTGCGCTGTTTTGCATCAGGGGCGCTCTGGACGATCCAACCGCTAGGTGTCCCTCGTTCTAGGATGAGACCGCGATTCGAGTAATGCTTGTTTTTTTAGGTGTAGTACTCCGTAGTCAGCGGGCGTATCTTTTTTTCCAAGGTTCTTGCCTCTTTCTTCCATTCTCTGCCCAATGCCACTGACATAATCACATGCGCTGTCTGCGTCTTAGCTCCCGCCCCACCATGTCTTAGCCACCAATTGGAACCTGCGTCATTGGCCAATGTCTATAGCCCACTTGGTCGGCCGGCAGCAACGGACCCTGCGGCACCCGATGATCCGGCATTGCCATGTCGATCGGCCCAAGTCAGCTTGTCAAGCTTTCCTGTCGATTTCCCTGGTTGACTTTGATGCCTATAATTG